GTCGAATCTGAATCACTTGAAAAAAACACGGGGGTGCTTAACTTTTTTCCAGGTGTATATGTGTAGTAAATGTCACTGTGAGAATTCAAATACTTTCATTTGGTAATCTCACTTAAAATCAACAAAAGGTTCATTTTCTACAACATTTAAAATCCTTAACGCATTTTATAGCACATAAGCAAATGTACAGTGCAGAATATCAGAGGGTCTCATCGTTTAAAAGAAAAGATAAAACTGTTCCATAATCCAGTTCACAACGAATGTATTATCAATATAGAATTGCGGTTGGAAATGTTCCACCACCAACATAAACCCGAAATCTCACGTAAACATTTTAGGCATTGGCAATAACAAGAAATAAGATGTGAACATGCTTCATTAACCGACTAATAAATACACAGTAATAGACATATTATTTTGTTCAGTTTCCTCAGGACAAACTGTTTGGTGTATACAATTCATATTATTTCTGCGATTGAAAAATATAATGCATTTGCCTTAGAAAAGCGCAAAAATCAGTCTACAGCTTTTCCAAATTTTAGTTTAAGATACACTCTGTTAATAATTAGAGATGATCAACATTCTGGTAATCAAGGCAATAACTGTATGACAACAAAATTCAACAAGCACATATGAGAGTGGAGCAAAAAAAAAGAAGTATCGTGGAATGTTATCGAAGTTGACTACCCTTGTGAAACCAAGGCGTCGAGATTTTCTATTAAAAGTGAAAATGTGTTTGAGTTATTTGAAATATTGACCATAGAAATTGCTGTTCAAATCTATCAGATCTAGGTGAAATTTCACTGAACAAGTAATTTTTTTTAAGGGAGAAAAATGAAACTAATTCCTTATCGCGTAAGGAAACATTGTTTTGTTGTCTTTTCTTGCATAACATACTTTTCACAATTCTAATAATGTTATTAATTAGTACTGAAACGGGCTATTTGATATTGTTTTATGAGTAAATTGATCAAACTCTACACAGGGTAGTGAAACTCTACACATACATACATACAGGGCCCGGCATGGCCAGGTGGTTAGGGCACTCGACTCGCAATCTGCGGGTTCGAATTCCCGTCACACCAAACATGCTCAACCTTTCAGCCGTGGGGCGTTATAAAGTAACGGTCAATCCCACAATTCGCTGGTAAAAGAGTAACCCAAATGTTGGCGGTGATGACTAGCTACCTTCCCTCTAGTCTTACACTGCTAAATTAGGGACGGCTAGCGCAGATAGCCCTCGTGTAGCTTCGCGCGAAATTCAAAACATACATACACACACACACATACATGTTTCGCTAATGATCAAGTTTGACTTTACATTTTACTTATGTTCGTATTCTAGCACCATATATGTAGCAACTTTTTCATTGGTATATCTCATTATTAAACTCTATGTTCATTTTGCAATAATGCTTGTACTTTTCTAAAACGGTAGACCTACTGTAGAACAAAATTTCATTTATTTAAGTACATTTTTGAGATTTTCTAACATAATGAATTAGAATATCAACACTTACCATTTTAATCACTATAGAACAATCAAGTTGAAGTGTAAATAACTAGATCGCTGAGGCAGTTGTTACAATGTTTGACATACCACTTATTTAAAATTCATTCAAGATTCCCAGTTTGCCCCTGTTGAAGGTCCACTTTTCGAGAGCGCTCTGGTTATATGGTTTTTTATTCATTTCTACAGAACATGCAAAAAATTTCAAGACAATAAAATCATCGCAGTTCCGTGTTATTAATTATGTGTTTATTTTTAATCGAAAGCCATCTTTGAATTTCAAAATACTCCTGAAATTCTGTGCTTGACTGCTGTTTAACATAAATTTAAATACATGACACCATAAATTCAAGCTGGAAACTTGGTTTAAAGACAAACCCCAAATATAATGCAGTTTGCAGGTATAACATGCTCTGTTCTTAAAAATATTACTGATGCAGGTAATCAAAAACTAATAATGGTAACAATTTTATGTAGTAATTTGTTTTAACCTAAGCAGAAATATTTGATTCTTAATGTTGATTGATAAGAATATAACTGTAAAATGTTGTGTCATGTGCACTTTTATCTGTCCGCACGGAGAGGGTTAAACCTATTTGTCAAAACTATACTCAAGTTTGATCTTTATTTCAGTATGTACCTTGAGATGAGTTTTTTAATTCATATTCACAAGAGCAGAAATTAACTATGGCTTGTGTCGTATGAACTTGAAGATATTAATGTAATGGATTAACCTAATAGCTCCAGGTTGTATCACACTGCATCAATCATGAGGTCATTAGGCGTTCAAGACTAGACTGCAGTTATTAAGAACCAGAATGCTTAATAGCAAAAAATCTGTTCCGATCACCAACATCTTTGAATGTGGCTGTCGTTTGGAATGGGAGAAAATGTCCTCACCACTTGTTACTACCACGTTCAATGAACCAGCTTTATAGCATATGCTCAGATATTCTGTTCCTTTCCACTTTACTCCCATTACTAGTTTTTCTTTAATTTTTTTGCCAAACATTTAAATATCTTCGTTTACTCTCCTTCTTGCCTTTCTTTGTGCCATTTGTAATTTATTACTCAATGTTAGTCATGTGTGTTATGGTACTCACATTTACCTTTTCTACTTTCAAGTTCAATTTGTCTGTTTAATAGACTGGTTAGGAAACTCGATTTAATTTCTAATCCACTTTAAGCTTTTCCTTCTATTTTTCATTTTGCTGTTATCTTTTGAATGACAAGCGTTTTATTAAAGATATACTCTTTAATCACCCTAAAAAAGTAATAATAAACCTTTCCTATAGAGTATTTAAAATATTAAACAAAAGAATAATACTATCACAGAAAAAGAAAACAAAATACTATGTATCTTCCTGAGAATGTTAAATATACATTTTTCTTATTATTATTTTTATAACTCATTTCAAAGTAAATATATTTTAATTACAGGGTAATCTACTGAGCATTGTTCCAATTTTAAATATAATTCTATTACGTTTTTTGTTTAAAAACATGTTAATTGGGTAAACTAGATTTATGAATCTTTCCTCTCAGTAATAATGATAATGAATTAGAATTCAGTTTCATGCATTATTTGCTGTATTTCAACCTACAACAAGAGTTCATAATGACAAGACTGATGATCTTAAAAACCTTAATGTTTACTGAACTATTACAGTCCAATGCATGAGTAAGTACAATCAATTTCAGTTCTACAGTTTGTAACTATGTTCCTTGATGCTTTGAAGAACAACCATTTTGGCTCATATACACCACAAAACTACAAAGCTAGGAATGTCTGGAAATGTTTGAAGAGATAAAATACTTATTGTAAGTATTGCAGTATCCTGATTGACAGACTAGATGTGCAATAGTGAATTAAAGTACTGGCAGAGAGTGGGATATGTACCAGTATCAAGAAGAGAGTTTACAATAATTCAAACACAAAGATGAGTATAAAAGAACAGAGTTTGGAAAAACAACAGAAAGACTGTGGACAAATGAAATTACACTGTATGTAAAATGCCCCATCTAGAAAGAAGTGAAGCAATAATTCCAGGATAGAGGAAGCTAGAACAACTAGAAAGACTCCAACACTTACAAGGGAAGAAAGATCAACATTTAGATTCTTATATTCTTATTTAACAAGATAGACTACACATTAATTGCAAGCACTCCGAAGGAATCTTAGTTTACAGTTGAACTGGCTCAGTAAAGCAGGTATTGCCCTTTCCTGAACAGAGACAGGGTGAAAAAGGGAAGCACACTTAAGCCAAATGTGAGTAATGGTGTGAAAATCACATTTTCTAAAATTTGTTTTCCATAAAATACAAACCAAATAAGTCAAAAATTATAATACAAATCCTTATGTTATGCTCTCTCTTAGTACGGTAATATGAAAATTATTTTAACAGAATGATACTAGTTTCAGTAGTTTCAAAAATATGCAACTCTGAAATGAAAGTAACTGACCAAAGACTTTTAACATCAATGATTTCTATAACTGTGTTTATCTACGAAATGTTAAACCACTGTTAATTAACAACTGGCTTACAGCTACCTTTTTTATTGGTAGGAGGAGGTATTTTGAGATGTTAGTATCATACTGAAATATTATTTTAAAAAATTTAATTTTTTTCCTCATAAAATTTAGTTTATTTTAAGAAAATAACTTATGTTATTCCAATCGTTTATTTAATCCATTATAATACTAAATTTGAAATACATAAATTATAGTATAAGATATTTTCATTCTTCACTTATCAATATCACTACAATTTACCTTAGTCGTTGCTATATCTTAGAACACATTAAAAATTAAGTCAGACTTCCTTTGTCACATCAACAATCTTGCAAATACTTTGTGAATCAGAAAATGTTAAAATTCTGTCATTGACAATTTCTTTTAATGTCGCAAATACTTCTATAGATGATTGGTATTTTGATCATGTTTATTTAATTAGTAACTTCAGATATATATCACCTTCCTAGACAATACAACAACAACAAAAAGAATAAGTGAGCAATGAGGTAATTCACGATTCTATTACAATTTTTCCCAAATTGTATTACTGAAAGCTGCACAATATCTTCAACATAAATATACAGTATAGCTGCTGTGTGTGTGAAATAAGTGAAGAAATTGCAGGCATATACAAAAAAAAGTAAAATTAACAAGGGAATTTTCTTTCTAGTCTTCTTTTGTGCCACCTCAACTTGCATATGTATAACTAGGATGACAAAACCTTCTGTCTTATGGCCACATAAACAAAAAATCATCCAGGAAAACCATTCAATTTACTGTCCATTTGTATACTATCCAAAAACTACACTAGAATGTCTTCTTCATCCGCTGAGGCAAAATACTTTCTTTTGCGTAGTTAAAGAACGACAGAAGTCCATAACGCTTGCTACGATGTGAGAAATAGTTGGTAACTACATCACTGTCTTCTGAAAATATAAAATAAAATAAATGGTGCTGATACAAAAAAATGATATAGAAGAAAAACTATAATATCATTCATATACGTATATACATTTATAATAATGCAACAGAAAGATTTGAGTAGGAGATGGATAGAAAGTCCCACCTGTTATAGTTGCTAAGATATGGTCCCCAGTCTTAAATACAAAAAAGTTGTTTTTTGACAGGGTATGTCAAATGAGATCCAAGTCTCAGAATAACAGATAACCAGTAGAATGTTTGCTTTTTTTCCCTTTTAATTCACATTTCATTTTCTAGCCCAAGTTCTAACATTCTCTCTCAATCCTTTTTAAGTCTCTTTTCAATTTTTAAATAGTGTAATTTCCAATTAAATTAAATGCCAAAATCTGATTTCTTTACTTGTTTTACTATCAATGTCAAATATTCTGCTATATGGTTCCTTCTAACCATCAGCAAAATGTAAACTTCATTATTATTACCAGTGTATCATGATTTTGTGCAATAAAAAGAAAATTTGCAAAAATTAAGTATGATGCAATGCCAAAAAGTACAGAAACAAGGTAGAGATGAATACACCCAAAAATCACTATATAAGTAGCCAATCTTTCCAAGAATAACTTTTATCTACAACTAAATGTTGAATACCTATCAGTTGCATGAATTCAAGTTTGAATAAAAGCATTTAAACTGAATAGTGCTATAAAGTCTTAGTGGGCAATAACCATAACTTGTAAGATTGATTCAGTTTTGTCAGTTTCTCTAATTCTGGATTACATTAGGGGCCAGTGAAGCTGGAATGGTTCGTCCAGTATGGTACAAGTACTTCAGAGCACTGGACCAATGTAAGGAGATACTTACAGAACCCACACCTTCCAACTTTACCATCAACTCACTGTATGTGCATACAATTGACTCCACAACATGTTAGGGTCATTATAAATATCCTAGGCCATGAAGTATGCTACCAAGCATACACACAAAGCTGCCAGGCTCAGCCCCAGTGAAAAGTTAAAAAGTAAACCACTATATAATGTATTGTTTTAATAATTAAGAAATTGATACTTTTAAACTCAGACATTAATAAAATGTACACTGATCTGTCACTTGCATAAATACTTGATACCTTGTATTTTTATTTAGATTAGTCTTTATTTCTTTATATATTTTTACTGAATTATTTTGGCAGATATCATGCTTGTGCAATGAAAAGTCACAAATGGTCAAAAGAACAATTTTTTACTGCCACTTAGCAAACAGAAATGAAACGGTTATTTATGAAACATGAAAATAATATCATGAACTACGATAGGGGTTCATAATATGGACTGTAAGGAATTTCAGAAAACCCTAATAAAATGTTTGGGCTAAAAGCACCATCCACAGTAAAGATTCAGTTAAAACAACACTTTAAAATCTTTACTATTAACTGCTAAGGCTATACATATATAAAAATGACCACAAAAAGCATGCATGCTATACTTACAAGGAAAAGAAAATCTGCTCAAAACACCCATTTGTAATTATTCTTATTCTCTTGCAAGAAAACAAAAACAGCTTAGTATATTTCACCCAAACCTTTTGTAGAATACTAAATAAGGTACTGTAAAGGTCACAGTGGTATTGACAAGTCATTTTCTTAATTCTATATTTTACATAACCTAAAAGACATCACAATTCTAGTGTAAATGATGTTATTATTACCCTTTGATGTTAGCTTTCTTACAATCATCTGTTGTCCCTTTAAAAAACTTAAGTACAGGGTGAAACAGAAATTAACAGCCAATAATAGTTGAACATTAGATGACTGTAACATGTACATATTCAATGCTTTGCACACTATACAGTCTTTAAAGAATCAACCCATATACCAAGAACCACAATAGTAGTTCATAATAATACAATAGGGATAGACCAGGAATTGCACAAAACCCTAATACAACATTTGGGCAAAAAGCACCTTAAACAGTAAAGATTCAGTTCAAAAAATACTTTAAAATCTTTACTATTGCCTGCTAAGGCTGTACAAATATAAAAATGCCGAAAAAAGCATGCACATTAGGCTTACAAGGAAAAGAAAATCTGCTCAAAATGGCCCATTTGTAATTCTCATTCTTCTTCTCTTGCCAGCCTACAAAAATGGCTTGGTATATTGCACCCAAACCTTTTGTACAATAATAAATAAGGTACAGAGAAGGTCTTAGGGGTACTGAAAAGTTAACTTGTGAAAGTTGATATTTCCACCCTCTAAAACTTTCCAAGTTCTACTCTTCATACTTCATAGCGATTCTGGAAATGCAACAAGCCATTCAAACACTGTTTTACATCAAAACCCTCTAGTGGTATTACTTGTTTTCAATTTTTATGTTTGGAAATTTGTGGCAATCCACCAAATAGAAAAATAGCCAGGCCAACAAGGTAGCAAAAATTGGCTGGCAAGTCCGTGGCAGCAACAAAAGAAAAGGTACATTAACTTTTTAAATATCATTCTTACAAATTTGTAAATAGTTATATATCTAAGTAATCAGTTAATAAAAGTGTCAAATCATATTGCCCTGCATGAAATATCACTTGAACAAGCTTGAGATCATAAGGGAACCCTGCTATTGACAAAACCACAAAGACCAATTTCTTACCTAAATCTTCACATTTGTAAGTGTCATACAATTGACCTCATGTCACTAAACTGATGAGGTGTTACAACCTGAGTAGCATATTTTAAACTGACTGCTAAATGATTTAACAATACTGCCAAGTAGATTTCTCTACTGTGTGAGCAGTACTGTTGTGAAGTTGCTCATTTGGGTGCTTTTGTAGATTTGTGTTCTATACACCAGCTATACTTGTGTACAATTGTATTGTGTACACTAGCCATTTTATACCTTGTGTATTTGTTTTCCATGTGTTAGCCAATTTGTGTATTTCTTTTCCATATATTAGCCAACTTGTGTAATTGTTTTTCATTCACTAGCCAATTTGTCAATTGTGTACATTTTTGTATGCACCAGGTTATGTAGCTACATCTATCTTCTGTACACCACAATTTTATTATTACTTTTTCTTAACAGCAATACAAAAATAAGCAACAATACTGTACATTATTACGCAATAACACTATACATTCCAATTATAATAACTAGACTACAACACTAGACTATCATAGCATAAATCAAGGGGTTAAATCAAATTTGATACCAAAATGCCTATGTTTAACACAGCCAAAAAGTGATGAAAATAAAATAAAGCACCATACGAACTGAAATGAGAACAAATGTGTGCTTTAACCCTATCTCCATGGGTATCATTTACTGTGCATGACACAAGGTTTTTAGTATCTTACATTCAAAATTTTATTAAACTACTTTTTGTTTATGTTATACCAATTAGAATAGCAAAATCTTAGTTAATAATCCATATTTTAATAGTATACAAGTTTTAAGTTGTTAATTCTACAAGGCAATATTTAAAAAATCCTGAATTTCCAATAGTGTGACCCATGTGACACATTTTCTCTTAGCATGTCATCATCTCTCTTTTATTCACTATCCCTTGAAAAAGTACGAAATTAAATGTAAATTATTCTCTATAGAATCGTTATTGCTCAGACAAACAATAATATTTAAAGAGGTTACAGAGGTATCAAATAGAAAATAGGACCCTTCCTGCCACACAAACCCATCACATCCTCTCTTTCAAAAGTCATTGATAGTTCTCTCTTACGTTTCATTATATATCTTTTAACTATAACCAATAGAAAGTCAATGTTTTCATCTATTAAATGACATATTGTATAACATTATGTTCTGAACAGTTAGATGTTAATCTCACTCAGAGTACCAACATCGTTCCCGTTGGAAAGTTAACGACTACCTTGGATGAAGTTGTAACCGCTCTTGTCGCATAGTTAGAAATCCAGAAAAATTTTGAGAGGTAAAGGAATTTGTTTACTTTTTGCATGTTATTAGTCTATATTCTTTGTTGCATTATTTAATTAAATAAAAACTAATAAGTACATTACTGTCATTAGTATAAACAATTAGGGTTAACTTTCTTCGAAAACCGACAGCAAGAAAAAAGAAGATTGGTTAAGTATCTCATTTCTTGTTTTTCATGTTTATTCTTTATGTATAATTATAAAAGTACCTAAAATGTAAAAATAGGGATCTTTCAGGTTTGTTAAGATTAGATTAGGTAAAATAAATATTAATAATAATATTATGATAAAAATGTTTCACGAGGCACACATACGAACAGCTCGTGGGTAATGTAAATCGATAGAGTAACATGAGCTGCATGTTCCCCCAAGTGATTTAAAACTTATAATGGCATGGATACAAGTTAGACATGGTTCAAAGGGCAATAAAACATTTAAATTTAATTATAAATAGATGTATACTGTTATGAACTTAGAGCTACTTAGGATAAACGAATGTAGTTTCATGTTACAATTTGAAATAGTCTCAAATAATCTCAAAAGTCTCAACTTTCATTTGTGTAATCTCTAAGACCTCCTAAATACATTTGAAATGTTTGTTTTCAGTAAAACTTTATATTTTATCTGTTATTCTCTCTACCCTAACTCTATACAAGGTTGGTCAATCTGAGTGACCTCGAACCCAAAAAAAAATAAAAAATCTAAATTACCCCCTTTTTCTTTCTAGAATGGCTTCAAATGTAACATAAAACTACATTCTTTATCCTAAGAAGCTTTAAACTTGTAACAGTATACATCTGTTGATACTTAAATTTATTATTTTATTGCCTTTTGAACTGTGTCTAACTACTATTCTTGCTTATATAAGTTGCAAATCACTTGGGGAACATGGAGCTCATATTATTTTACCTAATCTAACCTTAACTAACCTAAAGAGATCCCTATTTTTACATTTTAGTTACTTTATTATAATAAATAAAGAATAAACATAAAAAACAGGAAGTAAAGTACTTACCTGAGTATTTTTTGTTGTTGTTAATGATTGACTCTAGGGCATTATACTTAGTAATTTTTCCAGTGTACGTTCCAAACCTTTCTATGGTTTGAA